AGTTTATTGTCCGCAATATGCACTTTCATTGTTAGCCTCTGGGGCCCTGTTTTTGGTTCAGAAATTATGATTTCTGGGCCCATGGCACTTAGAGACGATCATCACACTACATGGGCCGTGTAGTGAATACCTGTGACCTTGGCCAGCCGTAGGCACATCTCTGATCTGTCCCTTTGTCTCCTGTTCCCAGAGGAGGGGCTCAGGGAAGACTAGTTAACGAAGGAACAAATGTTTTACTTCTCCCTTTGTCCACGGGTTTTGTAAAGGCAGAAATTTATTAAAGACAGGGCCTGGCACACAGTAAGCGCTCAATAAATGTTAAGATGCTGAGTCACTGGTTGTCAGACATACCCAGAATTTATCAGTTTATGGGCACTTTTACCCCATCATTCAACTGGATAATCCCAGTAAACCCGAGGCAGTCATCATTTAATGTTTATGAAGCAGACACTGAGACCCAGAGATGAAAAGTGACTTGTCCAAAGTCACACAGCATAATAATAACAGAACTCCAGCCCAAGCCTCCTGACTCTAACTATAATGAAGTCATCATCATTGTCTTGATTGTGACTACTGTTTCTTGAGCACCTGCTTTGTGCCAGGTATTTTAGAAAAACAAGATCTCATCTCTAATCATCACAATAATCACGTGAAGTAGAAATTGTAACCCCCCATTTTTCAGATGATCAATCTGCAACTTTCTCCTGGGGTTTGTGGGTGGGGCTGACCAGAGCTGCTCTGTCCAGACCAGGGAGCTGGGACAGGCACAAGGACACAGCACAGACAATGGTCAAGTCCAACACCTGAACCCATCAGCTCCCTGGGGCATCGGGCTGCGCCCTGCTCAGCGCTTTTTCAGCTGGTCGTTCACTTGCGGGGCACCACCCACTGTGGCGTGCTGACTGGTGGCAGGGAAGGAGCTGGCCACTGTTAGGTCCCCACCCCCAAAACCCTGCCTCCCTCTTTACCTCCTCCAGCAATCAATCTCCGCCTGAACGCAGGAAGGGACCTTGGAGACCATAGAGTCCACCCTCCCACCCCCATTTCACTAACGGGGAGCCACATTCCAGAAAGAAGGCCCACAGCTAGTCAGGTGCAGCTGGGATGAGAATCTGCTCTTCTTGGCTCCTAGCCCAGGCTCTTTAGGCCCCGTCTGCGGCTGTGGCCACATTCAGCACATACGACGCCAACCATGCCTCCCGCTGACGGCAGTCTGGCATTCAGGGCCGTGAGCCCTGGATTTAAAACAAAAGACCTAGGTCCCTGCTGGTCCACATGATGGCCACATCTACACACAGCCTGGGGGTGGAGGAGACTCTCCCAGGCTGTACTGGGAGGAGCTCCCTGCCAGGGAGAGTCAGGGCTGGATTCTGATCCTGCTCATCTCTGTACAGGAGCTATTCTAGGTGCTTTACAAATATTCACTCTTAATGACAACAGCAAGGAGCCTGGTTGCACAATGGTTAAGTGCTCAGTTGCTGACCTAAAGGTTAGCAGTTCAAACCTACTCAGCTGCTCCGTGGGAGAAAGACCTGGTGATCTGCTCCCATAAAGATTACAGCCTAGACAATATGTGTACTAACTGTTCAATGGAAATTATTTTGTTCTGTAAACCTTCATCTAAATTGAGAATAGTAGCACAACTGGAAGAACGTAATCGATGTCACTGAATTGTACATGTAGAAATTTTTGAAATGGTGTATCTCTGGCTATGTATTTTTTTCACAAAAAAAAAGGGCCTCCAAGGTCGAGAAGGGAGGGTGTTGACGTGTCATAGGGTTGTTAACCAATGTCATAAAGGGAGAGTACTGACGTGTCGCGGGGTTGTTAACCAATGTCATAAAACAATATGTGTACTAACTGTTGAATGAGAAACTATCTGTTCTGTAAACCTTCACCTAAAGTACAATAAAAAAAATTAAAAAAAAAAAAAGATTACAGCCTAGAAAACTCTACGGAGCAGTTCTAGTCTGCCACATGGGGTCGCCATGAGTTGAAAATCAACTCAATGGCACCTCACAACAATTATAAAAACCAAAACCAAAACCAAACCTGTTACCATTGAGCTGTTTCTGACTTATAGTAACCCTAAAGGAGTCCTGGTTGTACAGTGGTTAGAGTGTTCGACTGATAACCAAAAGATTGGCAGTTCAAAATCACCAGTGGCCCCACGGGAGAAAGATGTGGCAGCCTGCTTCTGTAAAGATTTACAGCCTTGGAAACCCTGTGGGGTTGCTATGAGTTGGAATCGACTGGACAGCTGAAGGTTGTTTTGTTTTGTTTTATTATAGGACAGGGTAGAACTGCCCCATAGGGTTTCCAAAGCTGTAATCTTTAGGGAAGCAGACTGCCACATCTTTCTCCCACGAAGCAGTTGGTGGATTCGAACCACCAACCTTTTGGTTAGCAGCCGAGTGCGTAACCACTGTGCCATCAAGACTCCTTACAACAATTATAACAGCAACCAAATGAGGACTGTCTCCACTTTACCAATAAGGAAGCTGAGGCTGAGAGAAGTTAAAACATTGTCCAGAGTCACATAGTTAGGACTCTGGCTCCAGAATCCATGCTCTCAACTACAACATAAGCCACCTCCCCTGTAAAGTAGAGCCAATAATAATACTGCCCTCCCAGGGGTGTTGGGAGCATGTAATAAGACACTAGCTGTAAACGCCAATCTCAACTCTAACCAAGATGATGAATGCAAACAATGCGCTGTCTTGCTGGCAGTGTGGCTGGAGCCTCACTAATGAGTACTAATAATAGCTACCCTATGTGGAGTGCTCCTAGTCCCAGGCCCAGTTCTAGGTGCTGTGCCTAAATAAACTCACTGACTCTTCACAATTATCCTATAACATGACTATGGTTATTATCCCCATTTTACAGAGAAGAAAACTGAGATGTCAAGTACCAGTTTGAAGTAAGAGAGTGTGGAAGAGTTGGGATTTGGACCCAGCCCATCTGACCCAGAGTGCATCCTCTTAACCTCTACCCTGCACTGCTCCTTTAAGACAAGTCCATGCTCTCCAACCTGTACTCCCTGAGGTCTTGACTCCTATATTTCCTCTTACTGAAGCCAGAAGCTTTGGTGGAAAAGCACTGAGGGGGTGTGCGAAGTTGTTGTGAACGGAGACATGCTACCTATATGTGAAGGCTGCTTGTTATTTAAATATTACAAATCTAAAGCATTATAAAATATTATCATTATCAGCTCAACCCTGCCCATGGTGTACCTTCACAGAAAAATCATGGTACCGCTCCGAACTGTGGTCTCCTCTTCTGTAACAAAAGGTGGGCCCGCTATATCATTCATTCTGCCATCCAATGCCTAGTGTGGCAGGCAGCCTCTGAGATGCCCCCAGTGACCTCAGTCTCTTGGCATTCATGCCCTTGTGTAGTCACTTCCCTTTGAATGTCAGCTGCACCTAGTGACTTGCTTCTAACAAACAGAATATAGCAAAAGTGATGAGATGTCACTTCTGAGATTAGGTTACTATAAGACTGTGGCTTCTGTTTTGGGTGCCCTCTCTTGCTAGCTCTTTTGCTAGCTCGCTCTTCGAGAAGACAGATGCTATGTTTTGAACTGCTGTCCATGTGGCAAAGAACTAACGGAGACTTTTGGCCAACAGCCACTGAGAAACTGAACCCTGCCAACTGAGGGAGCTTGGAAACAAACTCTTCCCCAGTCAAGCCAGCCTCCAGATGAGTCTGCAGCCCAGAGGCACCTGGGTAGACCCTGCCTACGTTCCTGACTCATAGAAACTATAAGATAATAAATGCTTATTGTTTTAGGCCACTGAATTTGGGGGGGATTAACAAATGCAGCAATAGATAACAATAGCAATAGATAACCAAAACACCTAGTACTAGTCTATTTGGTCCAGGCCCTATGCTGCACATACATTCATTCAAGATACATTTATTGAGGGCCACTGTGTGCCGTGGTGCCACGTATTGGGTTTATAGTGGCAAACCAGACAGATGTCCCTACTCTCAAAGACCTCAGGGTTGAATTGGGGAGACAGACTTTAAATGGACGATGTGAGAAGTGTTATGGGAACTCTGAGAAGGCCCGTGACCCAGGCTGGAAAAGTTAACAGCGGCTTCCTAGAGGAGGGGATGTCTGAGATAAAACTGAAATTAAGGAGAAACTTCCAGGAAAAGGTGGAACAGGAAGGCATCTCATGAAGCAGCTGAGAAAAGGGCAATGCAGGCTAAGGAGATTAGTCCCACATGGGGAACAAGGGGAAGTAGAATGTGGCACAAGCCTAGATCGTAAGAGTGAACCTGGCAGCGGGAAAGCAGAGAGGTAGGTCATGGAGGGCCTCAAACACCCACCTAAGAGCTTGGGATTTATCTGCTGGGCAGCAGGGTGCCATGGAGGGTTGTAAGCAGCTGAGGGACATGGCCAGCAAGATCAAGCAACACGACACTCGCAGTAGAGTAAGGGATGAGGTGGAAGGGTCAAGCTGGAGGGCAGGAAGACTACGCTGGTCCAGGCAGGAAGTGATGGGGGCTGGGCTAGCAGAGGGAGGCTGCAGAGTAGATAGACCTTCCAGATATGAAGAGGTGAGACGGCCAAGATTTGGGGTCTGACCAGATAGGAGAGGGGTGAGGGAGAGAGACGAGGCAGGAATGCCGCACAAGTTTCTGGCGGTGATGTCTGCGTGTGCCTTCAGTTAGGGGGGTGTGCACGGGCACACGGACAAGGATTGGCTAGGAGGAGCAAGGTTAAGGGGATAAGTCGGCCAGGGTGACTGCAATATTGCCAGAAGAGAGTCTAAGGAGGCAGCCCCGCTAGGAAGCGAGTCCACCCCTTAGCCCAGGAAAGAGAAGCTACAGGCCTGGTCTGGGACAGGGGTGTAGAAAAGGAGAGGTACACTGGAAAGGTATTTGAGAATCCTAAGGGCGAGGGACTGAGCAGTCTGCGGTGCAAGGGCATGCCAGGGTGGGGTCCCTGCAGAGAGAATGGCCACGACCCCAGCCCGGGAGTCACCCACCTGCTGTGAGTAGCCCAGAGCCTTGTCGTAGAGCGCGATACCCGCCGCCAGCACCCGCGCGCGCTCTTCCGGGCTGGCGCAGCCCACGTCGAAGCCGTGCGCGTAGCCCTGTTCCGCCAGGCAGCGCGCAGCGCGGACCTGAGGGTCCCCGGCAGCCTCCGGGCCTGCCGCCAGGCCCATGAGAGCGGTCAGCCGTGCGACGCACTCCTCCTCCTCTTCCTCCTGCCCCAGCCGCCCGTATACATGCACCAAATTGGCCCAGGCGTTGAGGTTGCCCGGATCGTCGCGGGCCACCTCGAGGAAACGCTCGCGGGCCTCGTCCAGCTCCTCCAGGTAGAAGGCGAAGGCGCCCAGGAGGTTGCGCACGGCGGGACGCTGCAGTGCGGTCGCCAGCTCGAGCTCCTGCCTCAGGCCCTCCCGCTGCAGCTTCAAGTCCCTGGCGCGGAGGGAGGCCGGCGAGCGCGGCTCGAAGTTCAGCTGCATCTCCAGGTGGAAGTGGCCCGGGAGGTAGTCTAAGTCGTCGATGAGGGCGTCCAGGTCCTCAGCCGCGGCCTCCGGCTCCGCCATGGCTGCCCTGCGGCTTTCCGGGCCTCGCCCGCCCTGGAGGCTGCGGAGGGCAGTGAATGGGGCGTCCCGGAGTGAGTCTGGCGGGAGGCGAGGCTCAGTGCGCGCGGAGGCCCAGGGCGCAGCTGCCTTCTGGTCCCGGGGCCCCTCCTGCGGTGGGTGGGTCCGAGCGTTGGCTCCTGAAGCGCCATGTGGGTGTTTCCGCTTTCGCTGCTCAGCGGCTCTTAGACGCCTGCATAGCACAACGAGGTGCTCCAGAAAAACAGGTGCCTTGCCAAATTAGGGTGCGCAAACCGCAGTGCATGGCAAAAGGCGTTTTTTACCCTTCCTGCTGAGCAGATGAGGAAACTGAGGCTCGCAGGAGGAAAGGACTTGACCAGATCACAGAACTGGGGCATGCAGAGCCAGGCCCAGAACCCCAGTTTGCTGAATCCAGCCGAGTCCTTCTTCCTTGGGCCCTGCCCCACCCTCTCCGTGTGAGCGCGCGGACTAGGAGAATTAGGGCTAGCCGTTCTAGCTGCGGAAGGCACTTTCATTACTGCTGCTTTCCCATCCGCTCCCTGCTCTGGTGTCTCGGCCTCACTTGCAGTCGCTCTGAGTTCTCCTTCTTCTGAATGGAGCCTGCCACCTCCCTCCTTGCTACCTTTGACCATTATTTTCCAAGCTTCCCTTGCTGGGATTTCTCTTGCCTCCTCTCTGCTCATCATGAGGCCACTGTGGAAAGACTAGGGGAGCCTCCTCCTGCTGGCTCTAACCCCCGTGTTCTATCTTTAATAAAGTATGACCTTGGACAAGTCGCTTCATCCCTCTGTACCGTACTTTCCGCATGGGTGAAATGAGCACTGACAATCTCTCCCCCAGGGGCAGGGGAGATATTACGGGGGACCTGATAAGTGTGGGCTCTCACCTCCCCCCCACTCGGTTCCTATCTCATTCCAATACTCTGACCTTGGTCCCCGTTTTCATGCTTTTACCGATCTTTTCTCCTAGGACTGGACTTAAACCTCTAGCCTGGAGGCTGGGCCAAGCTCCCTGCTGCAGGGACTGCCTGATTCTCTAAAACTTGAGATTTGTAGTGGGTCTGAACTTTCGAATCCCTCCCGCTCCTCATTCCACCTGGGGCTGGGCTCCTGAGGCACCTGCTGCCTCATCTTCTCGGAAGACAGACCATCATCTTCAAAAGAGGAAATATAGCCAATTAGTCAACTTGGAAACAATAGTTCACTTTAGTAGTAAAAATGTAAATTAATACAATATTCTGGTGCCATTTTTTCACCTGTCCATTTAAAAAAAATAAAATTTAATATTTTTAAAATTAAAAATTGTTGGTATAAATTGCTGGTGATGAAGACATGAAACTTGGGCTTTCCCCTGCGTGGGAGGGTCAGGGATGGATTACCCGGAGGGCCTGGCTTTTGATCCGACTCTAAGATGAGGAGTTGGGTGGGGAGGGTAAGTGGGGGACATCCAGCAGAGGGAAAGGCATATGAAAAGGCCCAGAGGTTCACCTGTGCAGGGTGTGTCCTGGGGACAGAGCAGCTCCAGGGTCTGGAGGTCACAGAGCATGGGGAGAGATGGTAGGAAATGAGGGGTGGAGGCAGGGGCTGCAGCCCCATCAGAGAGGCCTTAATCCTGGCTGAGAAACTTCACTTGACTCCCTTGACTTAACAGATGGTTTTGGAGTCTGGATAGGTTAGAAACTCTTGCAACCACAGAGCTCCCAAACCTAATTATGAGTCCCATATTCACTGTGTGCCCTATACCTCAGAGTGTGACCAGTTCAAGTTACTCTCCCTGTCTGAGCCTTTGTTTCCTCTTCTGTAGAAAGGAGGCAGGAAGGGGTCGAATAATACCACATGAGAGAGTGATGCGGTTGTGATAAGGAAATTACAGTGACAGGGAGACTTTGGGCAGACCACGACAGGCTGCCTTGCTGCAGAGCTGACTCACCCTGGCCTCCTCTAGCCTGCCTGGCAGCCAGGACTCTCAGACCAAAGGACCTTGGCTTATATCCTCTTGGCCTACACTCCTCCATTAGCCCTGGAGCCAAGGGGCTCAGGCCAGGAGAGAAGAAGCAACGCAGCCCCAGGCAGGTGTGGATCACTGAGAACACCCTACGCAGACCCAGGGCTGGTCAAAGGGCCTCCCCAGGGCCGAGGACTGCGTAATGTCCACACCCACACCTCACTGACACCTCAGAATAGCTTCTCCAGGAACTAGTCATATGAGCATGTCACAGATGAGGAAATTGAAGCTTGGAGAAGGTAGGTAATGTGCCTGAGGGCCCCTGCTAGGAAGCAGCAGAGCCAGCACTCAAATGTGAGTCTCTGAGGATTTATGCATTAATGGGAAGCCGGACTAGGTTAATTTATTTATTCACCTGTCATTCAACTCATTCAAGAAATATTTATTGAACATTTACTATGTGCCAGGCACTGCACCATGGACACACGCGCGCGCGCACACACACACACACACACACACACACACACACAGAGTGAATTAGACATAGTCCCTGCCCTCAGGTGTTCTGTAAGAGCCCTTTTCAAGGGCTGGGAATGACTTCTTACTGAGCGCTTACTATGTGCCAGGAACCTTACCTAAATTATATCATTTAATCCTCACAGTAATCTGGACAGACCGGGATCATTAGCTCCATTTGACTGATAAGAAAGCTGAGACTCAGAGAAGGAAATGACTTATCCAAAGTCACACAGCTGAGAAGGGGCAGAGCCTGTGCTTAGGTGACTGGGTATTCTATTCTGTGTGAGTCCCTGAGGCCTGATGCCTCTGACCACCAGCTCAGCATTGCAGTGTGGGTGCTCTGCTAACCATGTGCCCACCAGGCCTGAAGCCTAAGAGTCCAGCTCCTGACTGTGTGGGGGTCTGCCCTTCTGATTTAAATGGCAGCTTGGGATGTCAGAAGGGAATTGTGTGGGGCCTGGAAGGAGCTCCACTGCCCCCTGGTCCAGCTTTGCCACTGGCTGGGTGCAGGACCCAAGCAGGCAAGTCTTGCTTCTCTCTGACTTCAGTCCTGTCATCACTGGATGGGTTGAGGCTTTCTGCCCCACCTTTGCAGAACCCTATAAGGCCCTTAAAGAGCGCTGGTGGCACAGTGGTTAAGCAGCTAGCTGCTAACTGAAAGGTCGGTGGTTTGAACCCACCAGCCGCTCCGCAAGAGAAAGATATGGCAGTCTGCTTCTGTAAAGATTGTTGTTGTTGTTGTTAGGTGCCGTTGAGTCGGTTTCGACTCCTAGCAACCCTAGGTACAACAGAATGAAACACTGCGCCATCCTAACAATTGTTACGCTTGAGCCCATTGTTGCAGCCACCGTGTCAATCCATCTCGTTGAGGGTCTTCCTCTCTTTCACTGACCCTCT